TAAATTAAAAAAAAAAAAAAAAATACTATACAAAGAAAAATAAAGAAAAATAAAATGCTTTGCGCTTCTTTGTACTTAAGAATATAATTGATACTAAATGATCATAAATTAGCATTTTATTAAGTTGTAAAAATTTAATAACAATGAATAATTTATTTTAAAATAATCGTTGCGCGTAAATATTACATAATACAGAAGTAGGAATTATATCTTATATTATTTGTATATAAAAAGCACATTGTAAGCAAAATAATATTAATATTATTATATTATTAATAATATAATATTAATATATAATACAATGTGTGATCTCATGCCTTGGAACTATATAAGAATTATTAATTTATGCAGTTGCATTTTTCAAATTTGCAAATTTATTATATTTAAAAAAATTTAAATGTGAATGAAAAGAAATGAATATTTCATTATGTAATTGACTTTATTAAGCTATAGATGGAAATATTTTTAAATTTATATCTTAATTTTAATTAATATTCTGTATAAATATGTATTCATGATATATTCATTATTAGTAGTAATTTTGATTTTTATAAGTATTATTATCTTAGAATAATAGAAATTTATTAATAGCATTATTATTATATTATAATTGTGTACTGATATTACAGATAATTAATATATTCTAAAATTATATTATAGGAATATATCATTGGTAATAAGGAACATTATGTATATTTTATGTTTGTGATTTATGATTTGTAAATTATAGCTTTATTTTTAAAAAAAGCAAATTCATTAAGCTTTATGATAAGAATTAAAGTTCTTTATAATAATTTTAAAAATGTGATAAACCATTATAAAACTATATTTAAATGTTTAATTTTATAAAATTATTATGTATTGCATCCTTCTACCAATGAATATTTTACTTTAATATCAAATAGTAAAATATTTTTACTAAAAATAGATTACTTTTGACAAATAGTGCAACACAGCACTAAATATATTAATACTTTTATTCTAGAATAGATAAAATATTTAAAAATATCTCAAGTAGATATTTGAAATTAACAATTAAATTTGTTTATTTATATAAATTGTATTTAATAATCTTAATCAACTGTAATCAATTTCTATATAATTTTTATAATCATAAGAAATTTTCTTATATTTTATGCAATTATTATGATTATTGGATATTGTAGGAAAATTAATTTTATATTTTCAATAATTTCTTTATGCTAGAAAATTATAATAATTGTTTAAAATTATATATGATTTTTTCATTTTATAATAAACTTTTCTAATATTCTAACATATGGATAATTATATCAGAAAATTCCAATCCTTGAAATTAGGAATAAATATATATAAAACATAATAAAACATAAATAAAATTATAATATAAGAATTCGAAAATTAATGTAAAATTTATTTATGTTATTTAATCTATATTATATTTTACATAAATTTTAGTATAGTATTTTTATTGATAATATTTTAATATTTTAAATTATTTCGATATTTACATGTAAATTATTAAATATAATAGAAAGATAAATGAAAAAATCTTATCTTTGATATTTAGATTCCTATTTTTCAAATAAATTTATCTTCTTATTAAATATAATTATATAATCAAATCAAATGAACTGTTTTATAATAAAATAATATTAATATTAAAAATAATTAATTTTTCTTTATGAATATCTATAATATGTATAAATTATTTTTTATCATTCACAATGGAAAAATCTTCGAATGAAAAATTTAAATTAAAAATCGAATTGATTTGGACTATTGAATTAGTATATGTTCATATACATCCATAAATATTACTTATATATACATATTAATGCAATAGCACAAGTTGAGATCACGTGGTTTATTCATCGTGTATTTCACGCTGATCATTTCAATCTGTGCGGTTGGTCTAATCAGTTCTAGTTAGAGTTATATAGTAATTTACTTAATTCTAAACTAAGATTTTAAGATTAATCTCGGATGATCTATTATCGCAAATATAATTCGAAGTTATTGTTGTATTTCTCTCATAAGAAACATGTACACTGTATCAAAAGGACCTAGCAAGATAGTCGCTAAGACACGAAGAGGTACTTGAAGAATATTTAATTTTATTTATAAACATTCATAATGTTAATTTCGTTAAATTATTATAATTCTTTAGGAATTAGTCAAAATCTTGAAAGGTTGGAAACTTTACGTGATTTAACAAGGAAAGCAGATCCTGATGATGATCATGAGATCACCCGGTAATACTTTAATACATCTTAAGCTTGCTATTTTTCTTTTCTTTTCTTTTGTAACTCCAATATTTCGGCATTACGCAATTCATAATTCTAAATTCAAAATAAGCACGTGTAATTTTTATGTTATATTTCCAATGATTCAAAAATAAAATATTCTATATAACTATTATGCTTTGAAAATATTCTAACTACAGAATATTTTTTTATGTTAACATTATATATGTTATATTAACATATATTAATATTTATTTCATAGCCATGTGCCAAAACCAGTCTTTCACATGAATGGGAAATCTAAATTCAGTTCACAGAGACATCAAATGCAAGAAGTTATCACTCCTCAACATGAAGAACTTATTAAATTTGTTTATGAATGTAGGTTGAAAAGATTTATATTTATTCATAAAATATAAATTTTAATTTCATAATATATAAAAAATATGTATAAGAAAAATATTCATATAAAAGAAATAAATATTTATTGCATAAAATATAATATTGATATTATATTAATAATATAATTATAATTTTTATTTATCAGCATGGAATCAAGTCAACACACGACAAAGAAGTGAATCTTCTGATGGTTCAGATTGTTCAGAACCTTCCAGTAAGTCTTTTATATTTAATTAAAATGAATTATATAAATGTTCAATTATTATTTATTTTTTTAAGCATTAGATATATATATATATATAATTGAATAAAAATATTTTATCAATTTCAGGTCCTAACACTATAGTATATTACAATGATGGTGAACCAAATGATACTCTTCAAGGTAATTTAATATTTAAACAAATAAACATTTGTTTTTGTTTAAGAAAAATTATATGATCAAGATAGCCTATAACAATTATGTTTTAGATTTTAAACCATTTGATTTGGAATCATGGTGGGGTAAACGATTATTTAATAATATCACAAAATCACTTTGAAAAAAGGAGAAATTTATAAGTTGAAGATATCTCAAAGTAGTACAGAATGATAAACAGTGCTAAACATTAGCCTGTTTTGTGTTTTAAAAGTAATCTAAGAACCAGTGAATAATTGTGTAGAATTAAATCTGAGAATTAGAAACAAACCTAATTTGTTGGATATCACAATTAGTGAATTTGAATTGTTATATAATTCATACATATTGTATTTGTTATAATGAATTGTATACATGTATATTGTTTTTGTAAAATTGTAACTTTTTATTATATATGTACACAATCATACAACTTTTTAAAATTAAATTTATATATTAGAAATTTTATGTACATGAATATATAAATTTTTTTGAATATTTTTTTTAATATTCACATTTTTAATGATTTGCATGAATTCAATATGAACAATTATCAATAAATTTCTTAAATATGTAATATAAAAATTACATAATTCTTTATTGTTATTTCATGTTTATATACTTTTTTAAAATTTTAATCAAAGTGTACAGAAATTTCATTTAAATATAAAGTATCCAAATTTAAATTATAAAATTAATGTGATACAAAATACGATTGCTATTTTCTTTTGTAGGTTTCTAAAATAATGCAGGTAAAAGTATACAACTCATAAATATATATCAAATAGGTTAAGTATACATAAAACTTCCTGCGTAGTATGAATGCAGTGTGAAAATAATGAATTTTTAATCATAGAATGATGTAAATATTACATGCATCGTTTGTGTGAATGCATGAATACATTGCTGATATTGTTATGACAACTGTATCTAAATACTTTTAAGCAAATTTTAGTATAACTTTGTAGACTGATAACATTTAAGATTATTACATGATTATAAGACAAGATAAAGTTTGTCAGTAATGTATTTGCAAGCTTTGCTTTTTAAGATTTCATATCTAAGTTTTATTTCATTTTTCTGGTTTAATTTTAATTAAACTTTGGTAAACTTTAATAAATTTAATATGAAACTTTGATATTTCAAAAAAGTAGAGTTTGCAAAAGTAGTCAAAATATGTAGTGCAATATTTAGCCACTTATGGTTGAATTAAGTAATTATAAATAAATGCATCTTTATATTGATTATGATTTATTTTATTATTACTTAAATAAATTTCACTAAATAAAACATAAAGCAGATAATATATATTGACTGTGCAAGTTTTTGCTTATGTGTCTATATTTAAATTTATAAAGATTAAATAAATTGATTTTTTTTATTAAAATAATAATAGTAAATAATTTTATTTTGAATAAAAAATTTAAAAAAATAAAATATTTTTTAAGACAATTTAAATTATATTCGTCTCAAAATAAATAAATTAATAGGTTATCTATTTAATTTAATTCTTTAATTCTTTAATTAATAAATATATATAAAATAATTAGAATAAATATTAAAAATACAAATTATATTTTTATTATAATTGTTAATATTTATTTAGATTTAAACTATTTATATATTTTTGTACATAAAAATGTGTGAATTAAAAGATTATGATTATTTTGATACAATAATTAATAAAAGTCTTATGGGAATAGCAAAGATACATAATGATTTAATTGTATTAGAAGATTGTAATGCAATTTTACGTAAAGATTATGTAAATATGATTGGGAAAGTAAGTAATTTGTTGGAATAAAATGAAAATATTATTTTAAATATAGAATAATACAACACAGAATAATAAGTCAAATTAAAATAATAATAGGTCAAATTAATATCTGGTGGTAGAGTTGAAAATGAATTATTATATCCAAGATTTGTAGGTCCTGGAATGTTAACAGCTGCAATTTTAGGCAATACTTTTTCTGGACCTTCAATTAATAACATATTGAGAGTTATTGCAGAAATTGAATCTGATCATCCTTCAGGTAATAAAATATATGAATATAATTTTATTTCATAATAATATTTACAAAATATATATTAATAAAATATTTTATAATAATAATAATTAATTAAAATATTTATATATAGGTATATTATTAATTATTCAAAATGATGTTGAATATTCTATAAATTTTACCTTAGCTAAATTACATGCAGAAGTTAAAGGATATATTATTAAATTAATAATAGTAAATAATAATATATCACATTATGTCAATAATACTATTAAAGAAAATGATATTTTGCCTATACTTTTTATATATAAAATAGCTGGAGCTATGTCGGAAGAAGGAAAAAATATAGATGAAATTTATTCTCTTTGCAATTCTGTTGCAAACAATGGAGAAATCCTATGTTTGAAAGCAGGTTACAAAATTTAAAAAAATTAAATTATTTAATATATACATAATATATAAAAAAATTATATTTTACAGAAATGTATTTTCAAAATATAATTCATGAAGAATATAAATTGAATATACTTTCAAATATAGTTAAACAAATACTTAAACCATTAATAAATATATTAAATAAAACATTACAGGATTGTACTAAGAAAAGTATACATAAAACCAAAACATTTTGTACTGGTCATGAAATTGCAATTCTAATAAGTAACTTTGGTATCATTATGAAATTAAATATCTTTTCATTTATATTAAAACTGATTAAATTTTTAAATGTTTTTAAATTTCTTAGGTTGTAGTCAAATACAAGGAAATATATTTATCTTAGAATTTTTGCAACAAATAGAAATAAATAAATTAAAAATAAAAAGAATATATGTGAAAGAATTTACAACATATTCAAATTATAATGGTTTTCATATCTGTTTGTTAAATCTCTCACTTACTACAGATTTAATTAAATATTTAGATTTTCCAACACCTATATCTGCTTGGCCAAAAGTATTAATTACAGAAGTAATAAAAATTGAGGAGGTAATATAATATAAAAAGAAATTAATTTACATTATATTTTATAATTTAATACTAAAATTGATTTTTAGAATAAGAAAAAAATAATTACATCAAGAAAATACAATAAGGTAATTTATTATAATCTTAATTTTGAAATTATGATAAATATAATAAATAAATCAAATTTTAAAACAGAATATCAATTGGTATGATTTAAATTTACAAGGACCAACAATGAATTATGAAACTGGTCAAGCATTTTTATCAATTATTTCAATGGCATGTGAAGCAATAATAGTATGTACAGAACAATTAAATAAAATGGATAAAGAATATGGAGATTATGGTACAAGTCTTGCACGTGGAGCTAAAGCTATACAAAATGATATTCAGGTTTAAGACTAAATATATATATAAAAAAAAATAAATAAAATATACATATATATGAAATCTTAAATAATATATTTTACAGAAAAATAAAATATCAGGAACAAATTTATATATAATATTTACACAAATTAGTCATATTATTCAAAAAACAGTTGGTGGTTTACAAGGAGTATTATATTCTTATTTTTTTTACAATGTTGCTAAAGTAAGATATAATTTGTTATATTGTTAGTTAACATTTCAAATATATAACATTTTTTAGGCTTTTTCAAAATATCAAAATAGCAAAGAAATAACAGTAGACATGTGGTTACATGTATTAACTATTGCAAATAAAGCATTGGAACAAATTAAAATATCTTCCATAAATAATGATATTCTATTAACTATTTTAATAACAATACAAATAGACTTAGAAAATGCATTAAGTAAAAATATGGATCCTCTTGATGCATTTGGAGTAGCTGTAAAAGCTGCAGAAAATTTTAATACAAATGTTTTACATACACATTCTTTTCATGTAAATAAAAATGAAATATTATATTGTTTTATAAATTTAATGATATATATATATATTTTCCTCTATTATTAAATTTTAGTTATGATATATATATATTTTAATTAAAATAATATATATTATAATTAAAATTTAATAGTAGAAGAAAATAAAAATTATTTAAATTTTAGGAATTTAAGTATCCTCAAGCACATGCAATAGGAATATGGATGAGAGCTGCATATGAAGGTACTAAATTAAAATTAATTTATAATAATACAAAATAATTTATATTATATATCTTATTCATTATAATCTATGTTATAATATAAATATATAATAGGTATATTTTTTATATGTATTGTTTTTGCTATTAATTATGTTAATGTTAAATGAATTAATAAATTAAAAAAAAAATAATTGATATTAAATGGTATTATATATTACATTCTTATACAAAAAGCAATTTATTACATTATGTAAATATATATATTTTTTTTTATTTGCATATACGAAATCTATAAATGTATGCGTGAATATTCTTTGTATAAACGAATGAAATGTCTGTTTAGATATGTATAAGAGACTATCATAATGTCACGTGTTCCTGGCTTCTCTTCATTTTTGTCTTATCACGTGAAAAAGCTAAAAAAAATTAATTACTTCATTTTTAAAACGTGAGCTAAAAATTAATAAATAACATATTGATATTTTTATATTATAAAAATTTTATAGCTGATATCATACGAATAGAGGTTAGGTTTAAAATTATAATTTCTACTTTTTAAATATTAGATATGTATAATATTTAAATATTTTATTTAAATTTTATGAAAATATTATATTATTTATACATACATACGTATATATAAATATGAAATATATGCGTTTATAAAATGATAATAATAATAAAGATATGAAAATATATGAGCAGTAAATTTGTAATATTCATACAAGAAAAAATAATATTAACAATGAATGCTGTGATTGCTTTATGTATTTTTTGTGAATCACACGGACCTAAAGTGATATTTACTACTCAAACCTATCGTAATTATGACAATCAAAATACAGAAAAATTAAAATTTTATGGACCAAAAGAAATATTAAAACGAAATCAAAATATTATGGAAGATGGACAATATGAATGTGAAGGATGTCAAAGTATTGGAAATGTGAAATATTTAAGCAATGAACATGAAACTAGAACATCATTTCTTTCTGCTCAACAATCGTTAACTCAAGATATTTGGTGTTTGCTAAAGCATGCATGCTTTAGGTATAGTAATTGTAAAATGAATAAAATAATTTTAAAATAATAATAAAATAATAAAATAATTTTTTATTTTATTCTTTTATTAATATAAATACAGATAAAATTTAATTGTGTATAAATTAAAAAATTATATTTTTATTTTAATTATTTAAGGAGCTTAAGTTGTGAAGTACATCCGGGTAAAGAAGGTGTTTGCTACTTTGGAGATGAATATAGGGGGCATGTTTTAAGTCATACATTTACATTAAAAGATGCCCAGGTGAATTATGCAACGAAAAAGCATGTTTGGTAGCTATTACAATAAATTATTCAAATCATATCATTAAT